TGGCCGGCGCAAGGGGGGCGGAGCACACAGCTCCAGCCCCGCCCGCTTCCGTCCCGCGGCCGCGCATGCGCGGTGCCAGTCGGGAGTTGTAGTTCCACCGGAGATGAGGCCGTGCCGGTTCCCCGTTCCCGGCTGTGTCCCCGCCCCGAACGGCCCCTGGGCAGGAGCCCCGGGAGCGGCTGTGCGGGGGGACCCGCCCCCGTGATCTCCAAGGCCCGAGTCCCTCCCCAAAACAACCCCACCAGCGCATGGTTCTCCCACAGGAACTGCATTAATACCTTAAACCCACACAAAACCACAAAGCTTCGCCCCCACAGACGCTGAGGGCACCACCCGGGAGCGGGTTTTGTCACGGTCGCCACTTGGACCTGGACTGATCCTGGCACAGTATTCCTTTGCCTTGGCTGCAGCGGGATGTGACACCAGGCCAGGATCGAGGGCTTGGACTGGGGAAGAGGACTGGGACGTGATTGCTCTGGAGCAGAGGGTTTGGCTGATCTAACCCACCGTTTTAGGACAGGAGAACAAAGGGTAACACTTCCCCAGAACAAGGTGCTCCTCATCCTCCCTCAGGAGACAGCAAGAATCACAGGGGTTCAAAGAGCCCGCAGAGTTCAGCTGGAAAATCCTGTTTGCTGAACTGGTTCCCACCAGAGAGAGGGCTCCGAGCTTCCTTTTGCTTCCGCATTTCAAGTCCTGAGCTTTGCTATGTTCCTAGAAAACAAAAGCATCCAACAGTTCCTGAGAGTGTGCTAATAAACCCCCTCTCTGTGGAGAACCACACTCCCCTGACCCAGACACTAGGAAGGAGGTGAATGTCCTTGCATGAAAGCTAAAGAAAACCTCAGGGTCTTTGCAGAGGGATTTCTCCTGTCCCTGCTTCTTGTCAGCCCCATGCCGAGCTGTCCCTGTCATTGTTGTGACTGATTTCCCCTCAGCAGGCAGGGCTGGAGTCACTTCATTCTTGTTAGAACAGGAAAGCAGAGCTCAGGGCAAGGCACAGCTCAGCCTTTGGCCTCTGGATTCTGTAAGGACAAGTTTTAAGAAGTTCAACTCCAGATGCTCGTGTGCACTCGAGCTCACACATCACTAAATCACTGAGAAAGCTAAAAATAGCCTGAAACCTTCCGCAGGCAGGAAGGTTCTGCTGTGCGCAGAAAGGGAAGCCCCTGACAGAAGGATCCCATCTCCAGGCAGCCCTGAGCAGTGACACCAGCAGTGCCTCCTCTCAGCTTTGGGTGGCTCTCAGCGTTCCTGGCCTGAAACAGAGCCCGGACACAGCAGGCTGGTGGCCCAGGGGCCTTTTCCTGAGGTGGGGCTGGGCTGGATGTCCCTGCTGTGAGCAGGCAACAAATTGGTGTCAGGAGTGAAGTGATCCCTGAGGTGGCAGCTCGAGGGGCTCAGCTCCAGCCCACCCAGGGACACTGCTCAGCAGTGCCCAGGAGCAGGGCCAAGGCAGCGCCCTGTGGGTACTGGTGCCCCCCACAGAGGACAGAGTCTGTGGCTCATAACCTTTGCTCACAAGGTTTTTCTGGTTGGACTAAAGAGGATCCAAGCCAGGACATGGTGAAGCTTTGGTAGGGCTGGTGGCCAAGGTGACTGAGATGTTGTTGGTCACCTACCAGGTGCTGCCTCCTCCAAACACCCAAACAAGAGCCTAAAGGACATGCCAAGCCATGTGCACCCACCTCTGGCATTAACACTCCCTCAGTCCCTTGGAGCTGTTTCCACATCCCCTGTCTGTTCCCAGCAGCGCCAGGAGATTTCTCTGCCAAAAAGGGATTTGCTGTTACCTGGAAATCGATGATGAGGCTCCAGAAGTGTCCCACAAAGGCAAGGTTCTACTGGAATGTGACAGCGCTGCTCCATCATGCTGCCACAAATCCATTTCCACCCAGCACTGAGACGCCACCCCTTCTCACACGTGGCCAGTGGCTTTCAGAAAGGGCCTGGGTCAGCAGGACATCCACGTCTTGGCTTCTGGAGCTCCTTGGGCAGCCCATTGGCCAGTTTCTCCCCTCTGCAGCCCCAGCCTGGGCTGTTTGTGGCTCCCTGTGTCCCACTTGTGCCTGTCACATGTGGTGTGAGGCACACAGCCCACAAAGGAAACCCTGGGTGACAAACCCCGGTGCGGGGGGCGGAGGCGAGACCGGAACAGAGCTGGTGCAGCCTCGACTGCCATCTCAGTACCTCAGGGTGCTGCTCCGGCCCTGGGACCCCACACCAAGGCAGGATGGAGGATTTGGGTAAGCTGGGACTCTCCAGACCTGATCTTGCAGCCAGGCCGGGCTTGGGGTCAGTCACATTTCTGGCACCTCTGGGGAGCCTTTTCCTTCCTGTACCTCAGGACCTGGAGGGGATGCCGCAGAGGGGCAGCCATGGAGCCCTGCTCCCTCCTGTGCCTCCCCCATCCCAAGGGACCGATGGGGCCAGTGGTTGAGCGAACACTTGGCCAAAAATGAAGCCAGCTTGAGAGCAGGAAATGGGCTGTGGCAGCGCCACAAGCCTGGCTGCACCCAGCAGGAGCTGCGAGCTATCCCTGGCCTGGGGTGGGGTGGGGGAGCAGCCACACTGCTGTGGGCATTCCCTGTTTCCCAATGTGAGGGACAGCCGAAGCAGAGAGGCAAAAACAAAAAGGAAAAGTGCTCGGCCCAGCTTGGGGGAAGTGGTGATCTAGACACACAGGATGAGCCCAGGGTGAGCTTTTCCCTGCCAGGGCTTCTGCTGGGTCAGGTTGAGGACTGGCAGAGGTTTCTTTGCTGACATGGTGTGCGGGGGAAGGACCCTTTGCCCCACTCTTTGGGAAGGTGGGCACATCCTGCACTGGGATGGGCACCTTGGGGAGGGTGCTCAGGACCCCTCAGGGGCACTGGCAGCTGGCCAGCAGGATCTGCTGTGACACTCCCTTTGCTCCTGAGATTTCAGGAGCGGTACAAGACCACAAGGTGGGCAGCTGCTGGCTGTGGGGCCTGACCTGGGTGTATCTATGCAGATGCTTTGCTGGAAGAACTGGAGCAGAGCTCCTGCCTGGCCTCCAAGGAGCGTGCTCTGCAGGGACCAAGCTCCTGCCAGGATGCCCAGCATGGTACCCTGAAGGTAATGCCTGTGCACAGAGACCTCTCAGCTCATGATGGTGGTGTCAGACAGGGGAAGCTGCCAGGGGAACTCCCTGAGGGCTCTGCCACAAAGGCTTGTCCTTCCAGGTGCCGCTGCCACCCCGAGCTCAGCCTCCAGGAGAAGGTTTGGATTCAGTGTACAGGTAAAAATGGCCATGGGAGGGCAAAGCCATCAGGGGCTGCCCATTCCTTGCTGGGATCTGCCACCCAGGGTCACCTGGGACAGACTGTATCCTGCACACCTGCAGTGTTCCCTGTGGTGGCCTGTGGGAAAGGGCTGTGTTGGCAGGGGTGGAGGGGTCTCGGTCCCAGCCTTGGGGAGGACACCACAGCATCTCCCCTCTCTGCCACGTCCAGCACCCCTGTACCAGTCCCAAAGCCGCTGCTCCCCTCACCCCCACCCACGGAGGCTGCCTGGCAACTGGATGAGCTCCTGGCCGACCTGGGCCACACACAGAGCAAGGTGAGCCTTGGCCCTGGAGCAGCAGGCTGGGGGGCTTGGCCCTCACCCAGACCTCACCGTCCTCCTTCCCAGCAGCTGGCAGCTGCAGGGCAGGGAGCTGGGGTGCCCATGGAGTCCTTGCTGGACAACATGCTGGACAGCCTCACCCGGGACCTGCAGGAGCTGGGAATCACAGCCGCGCCTGCCGGCATCTGCGCCACCTGCCGCAAGCCCATCGCTGGCAAGGTGAGCCCCCGCCCCACCCCGGCACCCCTGGGCATCCCCCTGGAGCTGCCCTCACAGCCCCTGTGCCTCCTTCTCGTAGGTGCTCACAGCCCTGGGCAAAACCTGGCATCCCGAGCACTTCACCTGTGCCCGCTGTGGGAAAGAGCTGGACAAGGGGCCCTTCTTCGAGCAGGGTGGGCAGGCGTTCTGTGAGGAGGATTATCACCAGGCCTTCTCCCCGCGCTGTGCCTACTGTGCCGGCCCCATCCGCGAGGTGAGTGAGGAGTGAGTGAGTGAGTGAGTGAGTGAGTGAGTGAGTGAGTGAGTGATCGATCCCCTGGTCTCCTACCACCACCACCAGCCCCCTCACCTCGGCTTTTCCTGCAGAAAGTCCTCACGGCCCTGGAGCAGACCTGGCACCCCGAGCACTTCTTCTGTGCCCACTGTGGGAAGGTGTTTGGAGATGAGGGTATGTCCCAAGGAACAGGTGTGGGGGGTCCTGCCCCCATCTCAGGTACTCCCTGCTCTTGCACTTATCACCCCATCTGACAGCTCCCCATGGTCTCTCTTTGCCTTCTATCCTGGTTACCTCCATGTCCCACTGTCCTCAGGGTGAGCCATCCCCAGATGGGTGCCCATCCCAATCCTGTCCCCACAGGATTCCTGGAGCGCAACGGGAAGCCGTACTGCCACCAGGACTTCCTGGCCATGTTTGCCCCCAAATGCCAGGGCTGTGAGCGCCCTGTCACGGACAACTACCTGTCGGCCCTGCAAGGTGTCTGGCACGCCGAGTGCTTCGTGTGCACGGTGAGTGGGAGGGCGGGGAAGCACACAATGGGGGTGGCTCCCAGGGCCACGCCAGCCTTCCCCTCTCCTTCCCCCAGGAGTGCCTGACTGGCTTCACCGGCGGGTCCTTCTTCGAGCTGGAGGGACGGCCCTACTGCGAGCTGCACTTCCACCAGCGGCAGGGCACCATCTGCCACGGCTGCGGCCGCCCCGTCACCGGGCGCTGCATCACGGCCGCGGGGCGCAGGTACCACCCCGAGCACTTTGTCTGCGCCTACTGCCTGGGCCGGCTGCACAAGGGCACCTTCCGCGAGTGCGGCGACAAGATGTACTGCCAGCCCTGCCACGACAAGCTCTTTGTCTGAGCCCCAGCTGCCCAGGATGTCCCCAGCATCATCCCCACCATCATCACGCCTGGTATTGTCCCCGCTGACCCAAACACACCTCATATGCCACCCATCAACATCCCTGGAGCTGGTTCTGCTCAGCCAACTGCTCCCAGCCTTGGCTGCTGCCAGGCATCATTCCTTGTCCCCGTCCCTGCAAGACATTGCTGGCACTGCCCCTTGGACCTGAAGCAATAAAATACCTGGTCCTGCCTTTTCTCTGCTTACTGGTGGCTTTGGGGACAAGGGTGCAAGGCAAGGTGGGAGGGCTGGGAAATACCACATGTTTTGTCACAAAGTGACGCCTCTGGGAGCCACGGAGAACAGCACCACTCCTGGAAAAGGCACCTAGGCCCAGCAGCAAAGCCAGAAACACCAAAAGGACAGGCACACATCACACTTTAAAAACTTTATTTATATAAAAAAATCATTTTGTTTTAAAAGCGTTACAAGAGTGTGCACAGGAATCAGACAAGGAACGGCTTGGTGCTTCCCCCTCCCCACCTCCTTGGCCCTCCTCCCCACCAGGGCTAAGGAGGAGAGAAGGGCGACGCTGTCTTTTTGGTTCATTTGAAATTAAAAATTAAAAAAGGAATTAGTGTTTTACATATTTAAAGGAAAAGAGAAGAGTTAGACCCCAGAACAAAACCCAACCGAGCTGAGGTGGGGCTGGAAGCAGGGCAGGCCCAGCCGGAGCTGGGGGGGAACTGGGGCAGGAGCAAGGCACCAGCTCTGCCCCTGCCACCTCCCCGTGCCCTGAGAGCCCGCCCTGGGGGGAGCCCCGGGCTGAGAGGGCTCCTGCTCCAGTTTGCAGCCTCCTACAGAGGCTTCCAGTTGCACAGGGAGCCCCAGGGCCCCCCAAAAGATCACAGCACATGGATGTGCCCCAGCACCACAGCCAAGAGGAGGAGGAGGAGGAGCACACCCCAACTCCATGGCAGCCCAGGCCAGGATGCAGATGAGCATCCCACACCCTCTCAGTGAAGGCAGGGGGGTTGGGTTCCCCCCAAAACAGGCTCCCAGCCCCACTGCAGACAGGCAAGGCTCCCAGCGGGGAAAGGAAGAGCTCAGCCCTGCCGGAAGCCCAGGAAACTCCCCTTTTCCAGGGAAGCAGCCGGACAGTACGATTCAAAGAGCTATTTCACAGTGGCAAAAGAAAGGCACGTGTCAAGAAAAGGTCAGCGGGGCAGCGCCGTGGGATCCCGGCTCCAGGTGCCCGGCCCAGTGCGCCCCGAGCCGCCCGCTCTCCCCAAAACCCTGCTGCATCTCCTCCCCCCACAGGAACCCCCTTCCTCACAGAAGGATCCTCCTCATACAGGCACTGGGTGGGTGCCAGGGCCCCATCCAGACTCCTCTGCAGGATCCAGAGCTGGATCCCCCTTCTTTCCCATGACCCCAAAAGCCTCATCTAGAGCAAAGCACGAGACGTTATTGCTGGTTTTCCTTCCCCTGGCCCTTGTGCCTCTGGCTCCTGGTCCCCAGTCCTGCAGCCCTCAGGGAGGAGGGACGCTCCTGTTGTGCCCACGGCCCTGGTTGAAGAGTGATCCCACGTGAAAAAATATACCCTACAGGCAACAAAACCAAACCAAAAACAAGGCGGTGGTGAGTGAAGTCCCAATCCCCGTCCCTGCAAGACACCTTGGAGCAGGGGGAAGGTGTGGGAGAGAAGGCAGCTCCTGGTCAAGGCAGAGATCCGAGTCCTTGTGCAGCATCCACGCCGGCTGATCCGGCAGAGTCAGGCAGGAAGGTTTTACTCTCAGGAGGAAGGAAGTGGTGGGGGACGGGAGGAGGAGTTCTCAGTGGTGGTGTCCCAGAACAAGGAGGTGCAGCGGCCTGGAGGAGACCGAGTGGCCTGGGCTGCCCTGGGGACCCGGCCCAGGCATTTGGCTGGATGGTTGGCACAGAGAGTCCAGCAAAATTCCAACAATAAGACAAGGTAAAAGTCGGTCCATTCCACCATGAAGAGTTATATATTTATATATATAATATATTATCAACTCAAAACGGAGCAGAGGCAGGGAGGCCAACTAGATCTTCTGCTGTGGAGAGAGAGAGACAGGGACAGGTGTTAAGGCTGGAGCGGGAGTGAGGGCCGAGGCAGGATCACGGCACCAGTGATTGCAGCAGCAGTAATTGGAGCAGGATTTGGCTGGCCAAGCACCCCTAAGAGCACAGCAGGATCTGTCACCACTGTCAGATTGGGCAGGACACCGTGGGACATACCGACACGGGGGAGGGCACAGCAGCATCTTCCTCTGCCTCCTCCACCTCAGGCTGAGACTCCTGCCCCTCCTCCTGCTGCAGACACATGCGGTTAGTAGGGGCCATGGCACGGGGGGTGTTAGTTGTGGGAGCCCAGGTCTCCCCTCCTCTTCCAGACAGGACAGCGATGTGGCATTTCCTACACCCATCCCACTCTTCCTGAGTTAAAGAGAGCTGCTCACCATCAACGGCACTGCCTTCACCGGCTCCATGTCTCCGAGGTCACCAGATCGGTCCAGCGTCCTGCTGTGGTCCCTTTCGTTGAGTGTGGAATAGTTGTCTGGAGCAGGAGAGGGGACAGTCAGTCAGTCATGTCACCACCTCCATGGGGGGCTGCACCACTCCCACAGGAGATGTTAACTCCACCCTGCTCCCCACATATGGAGGGGGAGTCCCCTCTCCTACCTGGTCCCATGTTGCTCATCTGGATCTCCTCCCGGGAGGATTTCTTGTCTGCAAGCATGGGAGAGCACATCAGGGACAGTTCCTGCAGCCAGAAGCTTCAGAGAAACTGCTCCCTGCCCTGACTGGGGGAGCCCAGGCCCAGCTGCAGCTCTGTGACCCAAGGACACTACAGGACCTACAATGCCAGCCCCAAGAAGCCATCCAAGCCCCACCTGATGGCTCTGATGGCCAGGAAAGCCACCCAAGGCCCATGCTAATGGCCCTGTGTGAGCAGCTGTGGCTGCTAGGGAAGCCAAAGCCAGAGAGCAGGAAAGGGACAAATGCCAGCTGCGCTGAGTACCCACAAGCCAGAGGGATGATGGCAGGTGCTGAAGGCAAGCACATACCTGTTTTTTGGTTCCTGTCAATGAGAGGCAAGGTGCTGTCATCAAAGGAGTTGCCTCCCTGGGTCCGAGAGGCATTGCTCAGGTTCACCTATAGCAACAGTGATCGCTCAAATCCTGAGCCCAGAGGTTTCTTCCTCACCAGCACATCCCACCCCTATGGCACCAGCATAAACCCAGGAACCCTCCCACAGCCCTTAAGTAAGGGGTCCAAAGTAACCAGAAGGTGCTGAAGCCCCCCACTGCACCCCCATCAGAATGGGGGGGCCCTGCCTGGACCAGGGCAGTGCCTGTCCCTCCAGAAGAAAGGGCAGGCTCTGCTTTTGGGAAGGAAACTGAGCCTGGAAGAACTCTATTCTTCAACACTGTCACAGCAGCACTTAGAGTGACAAAATTCCTGCCTCATGGTCATGTGGGACACAGACACTTTACAGAGTGATCCTAGCAGAGACTTCCTGCTGGCCATTAGCTGAAAAAAAGCACAGGGACACCTCTGTGGGTGCCCAGTGCCACCAGCAAGGTGAAGAGCCTCAGGCCAGTACTGTCAAGCTCCAGAAACACCCTTCTCCCTGCTGCAGGACCCCACCTAAAGCCCTGGCCACCATGAGATATCCCCACACCTGGAAATCTGACTTCTTCCAGCCTTCCTTCTCAAGGGGCTTCCGCAGCTCCTTATAGCCCCAGACTGTCTGCAAGACGAGGGCGGCTGCCCGAACTTCTCTCTCTGAGCGGTTCCTACAAAGGGGCAAAAGAAGAGATGCTTGGAAACCCGGAGGAAGCGAAGCCCCTCTCCACCCCAATGTCATCCTTTGAGCAGAGCCTACCCAGATTTGTTTATCAGCACAAGCTTCTCAATCCCCTGCGTTTCCCGGAGCTTTTTGGCCGCCTCGAGGTTGTCCACGATCACTTCATTGATGGTGTTGAGGACTGACACCACTGTGTCCTCAGACAGGTTTTTGGCAGGGGTCTGCTGGCCTCCAGGCAGGTTCTTCACTAGGTTGGGGATGGCATGTTTGCCTGGGAAGGATAAAGAGTTGGACATGAGCAAGCAGGGAACAGGGCTGAAGGGAAAACCACTGACAGGTGACTCCTTTTGCTGTCCCTCTTTGCAGAGCTCAGCACTCTCTGCTCTGGGTGAGGGAAGCAGACAAAAGCTGGGCTGACGCTGTGCCCACACATTTCCCCAGCAGCCAAGAGGAGAAGGAGGAAGCTCCTGCCTAGCCTGCATGGATACAGGGAGCGTGCCACCCTCACCTATCAGCTCCTTGTTGCGCAGGTCCACGGCCAGGTTGCGCAGGGCCCCGGATGCCGCTTTCACCACGCGCTCGCTGTCGTGGGTCAGGAGGTCGGCGATGGCGGAGAGCCCCTTCTCCTGGCGCAGGGCTGAGCGGATGTACCGGCCGTACTGCGGGGAGGCACAGGGCCACCGTGTCACCCGGGGCTGGGGACACCGCTGCCAGCCCCCACGGGTGGTGCTCCCCGCGCCCCTTCCCTGTCACACTGCCAGCTCTGTGGGCACTCACCGTCCAGCTGCCAGCACACAGGTTCTGGATGGCTCCTGCTGAAGCCTCCAGGATAGCTGGAGTCTTGCTTTCCTTCAGGAGGGAGATGTATATCCGCACCACTTCTGGCTGGAAGAGGAGCTCGTAGCCTGCCAGGAGGACATGGGTAGGAAGGGGATAAACCCAAGGGCTCTGCTAGCATCAGCCAAATGCTAGCATTTAATATTAGTAATAATCATCATCATCCAAAGGGGCACAGGTGGAAGCTTCTACCCAGGCTCCCAGGGGGTAGGATCCTTGGCCAGGCTGTCCCAGGGTACCAGAAATCCCAGCCACTGCTTGGTCAGGGGCTGTGATTCACGTGCAGTGAGACACTTGTCCCCAGAGGCTCCTGGGAATGACCCTTCCTTATTCTCGTGTCTGGGGAACACTTTAAGACAGATTTTAGCTTTAAATCATGTCTGTTCTTCATGCCCAGGAGTGAAAAGCAGCCAAAAAGGCAACTGTTCTGGCAAGACTGAGACCACCACAGAGGGCTGTGTCACTGCGCTGTCCCTGGGGCAGTATTTCCCTCTGAAGCCTGTCCGAAGGCAGCACTGACCTCATCCATGTATAAGATCCTCAGAACTACTGGCAGAGCTCATGTTTTAACAGGTCCTTGGGCA